TATGCAGTATGAAAGCAGTATGATTACTCTTTTCAGATCCCATGAGCCACTAGTCAATGTTTGGCCCCAAAAGTCCATTTTCTGTCAGCATACTGTTGACAACGAATAGGGAGCTCAGCAGGATGAGAAGGGGCTCATGGGTCTGCTCCACCCACAGTGACACAACTGTTTGGCAGCTTCATGGACACAGAGGAATCAGAGAATTCAGTCTTTCTCTTACAGTCCAGCTGCAGGACAACGACGGCACTGTGGAGTTCAACAGGCTTGACCTTCACCAACACAAAGATCTATGGAGATCTGTTCAGCATTATGCTAATAAAGCCCTGAAAAGATGGCACGGGGTGGTGATATTTCATAATGGCTCATATGAGTCAAAACATCTGTATTTTCCCCCCTCACACATTCAGTGATCCACTGCATCAATACTGTAGAATACATTAAGCCTTACTAGAGATTCAAATACAAATCATGCTCTTTCGACAGCATTTGTGGCACAGGAAAAAACTGTGTACAAACATACAAATATATGTCCAAATATTACAATTAGTGCATTTACATGGACATGCTGGTAATTTTCAAAAACAGTTCATTATAATGACCAGACAATACAATAAATCCACATTTATAGTTTTTCAAATGTTTTTGATACAAAACAGACAGACAGACTGGTGTTTTGATAGATAAACAGACAGAAAGATAGACAGATGTTAGTAAGTTAATTATCATGTCAAATAGTTAACAGTCACACACACACACACAGACACACACACACCCAGAAAGAGACTTGCCGAAGAGGGGGCAGTCTGCTGAGGGTCACTGTCCAAGAGAAATCCTTTAACCTCCACATCACAGTCCTGCACCAAAGAAACACCACAACACCACAGAAAAACAACGAGTGATGAGGAAAGAGAGAGAAGAAAGAGTAGAAACATTACAGTGTATGTAATCCCACCAGAAAGATTGTGCAAGTGCAATCATTTCAAGAAACTATAAGAACTAGAAGCATCCATGCAGATGTAATGAGGTCAAAAGGGGTCATATACATTTGATCACTTTCCCACTTTCCCAGATCTTTGATGTTAGTCAAGGTTTCTGCATCGAAAACTCTGAACACGACACTGACACTGACTCTGTTTTCGAGGAAATCAACATATGCCTGACTATTAACCTGACAAATAAAATATATTCCAAAAAAAAAAAAGGAACTGTTTATTGAAACTTTAGATAAAAAAAAATAGATAAAATTTTTTAGATTGTATATACACACCAGTATACGCTCATACCTTGTACTCTCTGGAAATCATCTCTGAGCTGATGGGTCCAGAGATCTGGCTTGACATTGTGGCTGCAATCAGTTGTTTGCACCATTCAACATGAGCCCCTGTGGGACTGTAATGTAAAAGTGTTAGTGAGTTACATACATGTCTGACAGCAAGATATTTAGAAGAGCACAGTTTCTGTTTATGTTCAGCTGGCTCTTATTTATCCCAATAGGACCAGTACACCAACAACATTCATCATTCTGAACTATGCTGTCAGACAGTTATGTTGCATCTGTAGTTTAGATGGACTATATTTTTATACTTTATAAAACATCTTGAGCACTGGTTGAAAGTTATTGTAGCCTGTTTCCGTCATTAATCAAAAATGTAAAAAAGAAAAAGGTAATTGTGACTTTTTATCATAAAATTCCAACTTTTTTTTGCAGAATTACGAGATAAAAATTGTGAGTTACAAAGTCAGAATTGCGGGATATAAACTGAAAATGTATGTATAAAATATAAAATATTTTGCAATTCTGAATCCTTTTCTCAGATTTTTTTTTCGAAATTCTGATTTTTTTCTTCATACAATTCTGATGTTTATATCTCGCAATTCTGACTTATTTTCTTCTTTTCACAATTGTGAGTTACTGTATAAAGTCTAATTTTGAGGAAAAAGACTGACTTTTTTTATCTCAGAATTGTGAGTTTATACCTTGCAATTCTGACTTTATAACTCGCAATTGCGAGTTTATATCGCTCAAGTCTGAGAAAAAATTCAGAAATGTGAATTTATATCATGAAGTTCTGAGAAAAAAAGGGTGAATTCAGGTATGTTGACTCGCAAATGCAAGAAGAAAAAAAACCCCTCAGAATTGTGAGAAAAAAAAAAAATCGCAATTACAATTTTATTTATTTATTTTTTATTCAGTGGAGGAAACAGGCTTCCATTGCAAGCAGACTTATATACACACACACATATA